TCCAATCCCTCTCTTATAATCTATTAATCTTATCACATCTTTATTAAAGCCTATTTGATTTACTTCCTTTACAGTCTAGCATTACGCAATCCGTCAATTTGTTTTATCAGACTTTATAGACTACTGTATTTACCTAAGCATTTGTTTGTTTAATCATGCTGTTTTTCGTTATTCTTGTGATTACAGATCGCCTGACTTTTTCATCTTTGTTACTGATAGAAACATTATCATCATTATAATTAGCATTACTGTTATTATGACTAAAGGCACAATTTGTACGCACAGTCTGATTATCCTATTGACAGAGCACCGTGATTGGTTTATATTTGAATATTTATTTGTTATTTAGTTATTTGGGCATGTTAGAGTTGAGCCTGATGATGAGATTTAATTGAAAATAATAGTGTTCGCTTTTGCATGCTCTGTTTTAAAACGCTACAGTCTGGATTTAAACTCATTCCTTCAATATGTATCAGGAATTTATTATGAGCTGACATCAGTAAGAGAACCATTGGAAAATCAGCTGAGAATACTGGACAGTTGTCTCGACTCACTTTAGGACTCTTCATCGGTGCGCATCCATTGCCAGGTTTCGGACCCAAAGCCTTCTGGTTTAAAGGGCAAGCGAACTCGTAGAATATTAAGCCACTGTGATCCGAGCTCGCCTTGCAACCGGAAGGTCTTGGGTTCAAACGCCACTAGGGACGTATTTCTTATTTATTTGAAAAAGTGTACACATTATACAACATTCTATTCGATCAAAAGGATAGTTACGTTTGTTGGCTACGTGTCATTGGGTTGTACAATGGACTTTTGATAGGAATTGAGATAGGTCAGTCATCAGTGTAGAAAAGATTCACAGTTTTACGTGTTGTAATGACAGTTAGGTGTTAAAAAGTAGAAGCTGCAGTATAAATAATAATAAATCAAATGAACTGTAGTCTAGATTTGACAGGATAGTTCTAAAATATTTGGGCGCCGAGTGAGAAGTAGACATTTGTAAAAAATTATATTTGTAAAATCTCAGCGATATTGAAATGAGTAATTCCAACGTTTCGTTCGGCAATCTGGCTAATAACTGAACTTATAAGACAACTGAAATACTGTCAATGTATATTGCAAAAATGAGAAGATCTTAGAGCCATTCATTTTATTGTTACATCTCTCTAATTCTTGTATGCTTCCAGTGGAACATATAGCTTCAAGCTGAAGCCTTTAAATCTCGGTAACATTGGTGTGCATTTTTACGGGATGGGATTGCTAGCCTCAAGGGCCAACCTACCCTCTTTACCAGTCTTATTACTGACTTGGAAAGGTTTGAGAATGCGTCGGTTGGAGATCAAAGCCCGAGTCAAGTGCATAGTTGACGGGAATTCTATCCCTATGCCACTGACACACTTACTGTTACATAGTAAATTATAAGCTTCACTATTAACACCATATTTATTACATAGAAGACTGACGGAACAAATTAGGATATCTTTGACATTTTCCACTTAGTTGTGTCAGTGAGCATACAATTGTTTTATGATAACTCCTAGTTCTATCTGATGAGATTCAGTGGAAAAGGAGAGGTGTGAATAAAGAGGGTGATGAGAGGTAGACAATATGGATTTAGCCTACTATCGAGCATATCAGTTGTTCATATGTCTGTCAACTACAGTTGCAACCAGTTGAATTAGTGGTAAACTAGTTGGCCTAGTAACAATCTTTATTTAATACCACACTTCACCGTATGACAAAGCCAGTTTTTCAGTAGCCCTGGAAAGAGATTGAAGAGGAGGAGGGGGAGGCCAGAAAGAGATTAACAACGCTATAAAAGGTGCTAGAGTTAACAAAATGTTAGTGTAGAGGTTAAAAGTGATACTTGATTGTCTTAACTTCTTAATGTAGAAGGTTAGTCGGAAGACTTTCTTAGAAATCGACAAGATTAATTACATGATACAACTGTCTTTGTATTTTTTCATAACAGTATACTTGAGTTTAGGTCAGTTGAAAAAGACGACAAGTCACTCTGAAATTGTTATTGGTTAGTCAACTGCGTCGAGTCTAGCTATGGATCTGGATTATTTTAGAATAAGGAGGTATACGTTTTCCGAGAGAAAATAGCCAGATGTTCAACAAACAGATAACTTTTCGGAGATTTCATTCTCAAAAGCAGTTATACCATCACAGTTATATACACAGGTTCACATAGATTCAACATAGTTACGAAGATGATTAAAGGTGGTGATAATTTTTTAACTTGACGTGACAGTTTGAACGCATGAATATTGATAAGAAGGGGCTTAGAAACGAAATTATGTCGGATTATAAAATGGTTTTAAACGATTAAAAATGTGATGCGATGAGCATGGGAAAAAACTGAAAGAATAACATTTTATAATTGAAAATGAAAACGAAGAAAAAAACGAAAAAATGAAGGGGATGAAAAATAGTGACCTGACGAAACAAACTGAACTAGATCTCTATGGGTGAATGTAGAGGTTGGATTAATTTCTTGTGAGCATTCAACTCCGGTTTTCTGATTCATATGGCCAAGGCGTCTTCAGTACAGAGAGTCAGAAACACACTGCTTTTTGGGTGGGTGTTTGGCAGATGTTTGTTTACTCTGTAAATAACTCTGAATAATGAGTCAGTTGAGAGATGCTGTGACAAGTGTGCTTTATGTGAATGATAGTCTCTTCCTCGAATGTCGACACTGGCGAAATCGATGAAAATTTCGCTGTCTATAGCATGCATTACTGTAGCTGATCTTTTGTCTAAACTTTTTTAATTCTGTTTCATTTCTAAGCGCATATTTCGTGTACAGACTGTGTCCATTCACTCTGACCTTCCTTCACCTGTCTACTTCCTCCCCCCCCCTATATAGCAAACTTCACATTCTGAACATTTTATCCTAAAAACATAGTTGTCTAGTGTCATTCTGAGAACCGTAACTTTGACATTATTCACCTAAGCTTTCTCTAGAAAAATTAGATGGCTTAAAATAGACTTTAATATTATGTGAAGCAAGTACTTTTCAGAGTTGGTCAGCTGGATCTTTTCGACATGGAATGGCTATCTATCGTAAACAGCCAAGATTTCTTCAATTTTATGTTTTACCTTCTGATCCATTTAACTTATGATAATATTATTTAGAAGCTTTTTCGAATAACCATTTTTTTTATTTACAGCTTGATTCCACACTGTATTTTTGGTACAAGTATGGAATTTTCAGCATGGATATCGGTAGCCCAAATTTTGCAGGCCGACCATAGATATCAGGTGTGCGCCGGTGTGGGCTCGAACCCCGGACCATGTGCATGGTCGGCGAGAGTCCTAACCACTGTGCCACCAACGCACAATCAATATATTTTTGTTTAATGTTGAAGATCTCGTTCTTCATATCATCATTATCTGTTATAATATTCTTCCTAGGTTAGTTATAACGAGATTTTAAAGCTACTGAAACTTTCTGCCTTACTGAATGATCTGTGATTGGAAATTGAAATATTTGTTTGAATGTGTTGGTTTCCTAGATATCGTGAACCTTTTTTTTACAAGACAAACTTCACATCATTTCTAATGATTCAACCTGACTCGGTGCTCATATTATTCTAGGAAATTCTTGACACCCAATTCCTGAAAACATATGTTCTTTATGTTATTATTGCATTTCAATCTCTATTTGTAATCTTAGTTATCTAACTCTCAATGAGAAATAATTCTGAAATTTCTCACTTATCTACTAATATGTATATACACGAATGTACAGCCTTGTTGATGACTTCATCGAAAAGCAGGAAGATTTTTTTTTTTGATTTTTGTTTTATATTTTTTTTTGATTTACAGCTTGATTCCACACTGTATATTCGGTACAAGTATGGAATTTTCAGCATGGATATCGGTAGCCCAAATTTTGCAGGCCGACTCCATAGATATCAGGTGTGCGTCGGTGCGGGCTCGAACCCCGGACCATGTGCATAGTCGGCGAGAGTCCTAACCACTGTGCCACCGACGCGTCAACCGTCCTTTCAAGCCTTTCCTATGATATTATATTTGTAGTGAGTACCGTTGAGGCTAGATTTCACTGTTTAGTCATCAAAACCTGCCAATAAATTTCAACCACACTCTTGCAGAGGTCTATGTGGACATTACTAATGAATATCAAAAGGTTTTAATGTAACTACCAAAAGTTTTCTAAAGAATCGGTTTTTTGTAGAGATTCTATTTGCTTCAGGTTGGACCGCAGACAGATATCAGTTGGAGAAATACTGCAAAACAACCGGTGAGTACTCCCACACAGATGTTTCATCCTAGTTTGGTACTCTTTGGTGGAACGCATCAAAACGGGGTTTCTTGAAAATTTCACCTAGTTTTCAATTGTTTTCGAACTGATATCAATCCGTGAGCAAACTTGAAAAAGAAATCAAGTCTCTACAAGATAAATTCTTGGCAGTTAATCTGATGCAAGGTAGTGACTGAGTTCAGGACAAGGTTTCACTGGAGTTCTAGTGAGAAGTCGTGACCAGTGAACTCTCCATCCAGTCGAGAGTGAGGATGAAGTTCCCGCCGATGACAATAATTGATGGTCAAGCTAAAATCATGAATTAGTAGAAGTTAGCATTTATAGAGTAGCCGTTGAATCGGGTCCCAATGACTTAATGCTATACGAGTTTGCCTAGTAACCAGAAGGTTCTGGCTTCTAATGCCTGCCGGGGTACGCACTGTCGATGAATGCCAAACTAGGATGAAATAGCTGTTTAGTACTCTCAGGAGGTTTTCACTGCTTCTCTAACTGATATACCAATCCATTGTCTGACCTGAAACGTAAATACTTCCAAGTTTTACGCCAATAATTAACTTAACACAATGAATATAGAATCATCTGAAAACAAAATGATCTGTTCTTATAAGTACTGATTAGTTTTCGACTGGAATTATATAATATTTTCTCACGACTGATTGATTGCCTTGTACTGGGAGTAACCTTAGATTTTCTCTTCATTGTTTTTTAGGATCCAATAATGTGCATTCTATTTGGCCTTAATCTACGTGATCGTAATATGACAACTAAGGGAATACGAAATACATCCGTATCATTAATTATCTGTGTCATGATTGGTAAGTTATGCTGATTGTATTGTTCAGTGTATTGCTTACCTTATCATAAATTCCATTTTAAGAATTTTCGGTTTTCATATACTCTGTCAAAATTATGTCGAAATAGCATCCATTAATTTGATGAATATTGACCAACTTATATAAATATATATATATATATATATCATCTCCCTAACGGCTGTCAGCCTGTCCTTTCTAAACTGTTTACCCAAAACACAGCTATCAACAACGCCATTATGCTGTTACCTCGTCGTCTGATGTTGCCGTATAGATCTGTGAAATATTCCGAGATTTAAATCTAGGAGAGAAGCGGTAATCTTATTGTCGAAAGTGATACATAGAGACTTTTATGCAGATTTTATTGAGAGTAACTCTCTTTTTTTTCTGCTGCTGCTGTTGTTGTGGCATTTTGTGACTGTGGTTAACTCGAGGAAGCGCTCCTCAGTGATACACTCGAATGCAAAGATTTATATGCCCTACATTTTTAGAGCACTACATGTTGGCTATGATCGTTACAGCACGAAAGGTTGACTGTGGAAGTATTTCTCCGATGAATACTTCCTCATTCAAATTTGTCACAAAAAAAAACGACTCTAGTGCTGACCACCCCAGCATTCTTAAAAGCGCCACATAACAGCATTTAATTAAAACTTTTGTTAACGTCTATTACATATTGGATGGTTAGAAGCAGTGAACAGAAAACAAAACACGTAGTTCAGCGAAGAGTCTCGTTTCGGCGGCGAATTCATTTTCTTAGCTGTACAATCGCAAATATATATATATATATATGTGTTATTTTGTATGTATGTGTACATTAAGTTTTCTATAGTTTTGGTTTGTAAGGGTTAGTTATGTTCCAACGAGTTGATCACGGATTGATATCAGTTAGAGAACCATTGAAAACTAAGAAGTATTGGACAGCTGCTGTTTTATCCTAGTTTGGGAATCATCGGCAGTACGCACCCACTGGGATTCTAACCCGGGACCCTCCGGCTACAAGGCAAGCTCGTATACCATTCAGCGACCGGGACCCGAATCAATCACGAATTAGTAGAAGCTAGAATTCACGAGCCATTGAATCGGGTCCCAGTGGCTGAATGGTATACGAGCTTGCCTTGTAACCGGAAGGTCCCGGGTTCGAATCCCAGTGGGTGCGTACTGCCGATGATTCCCAAACTAGGATGAAACAGCAGCTGTCCAGTACTCCCTGGTTTTCAATGGTTCTCTAACTGATATCAATCCGTGATCAACCCGTAAAACATAACTAATCCTTACAAATCAAACTATAGAAACAAGAATTATAAGCAATTGAAGAACAGGTAAAGAAACAAAACTAAGTCAGCAAGAATCAACAAAGTTTTTACCATGACAGTAGAAGTGGTTGATTAGTTCTCTTTTGTATGCACAGCTCCGGTTTTTCTATATGAATGACAAGAGCTTCAGTGATACCAAGAAGACGAAACCGTAATGCTTTTGATAGATTTTTCTTGACTCTGTAGATTACTTTGAAGCAGGAGACGTTTGTTTAAATGGAATGATCAGTGTTAACCAGGTGTTCAATTATCGCACTCCTTATTGCACCACTGCTACCTTTCCGCAACCATGCTGGCTGGATAGTGTTCGTGAATCCTATTGGACAGGATGCGCGTCGAACCACCGATCATAAATTTCAAGATCTCTGACGATCAAGAAATGAAAATCAAAAATACGGTAGTGAAAAGTGATTATTTCACTCAGTTCCCCAATACCTGCCTTGTGCATAGTGTCATTCGACGGACTCTTCAACGTATGCACAATCAATCCATCTCCATTTACCTCTATATATTTGTCGAGTAATTGGCTGTTTGATGGTTCTTTCATTGGTCAACTGGCCATTTGATTTATTCAGTATAGAGCCAGAGAAGAAGGGGCCTGTTGATATAAATGTCTTCAGTAACCTGTTGGAAATTCTTTTTTAGTAACTTACGTCCAGTGCACGTTTCTAATCCAATAGTTGTGTTGAATACAATCTGAATCTTGATTTTTATGATGAGTGGAGAATATTTTTCAAACGGATTTCAGATTGATGAAGGCGTATCTTGCCCCTCCCAATCTGGCTGGCTGGCTGGCTGGCTTTGATATATTCAATCCTTCTACATTCACCTGGCTTATATATTTGACCCGAGAAGCATTGTAGGTAATAAGATAAACTAGACGGTAAATTAGACTCCACAGGCAGAATACTTAAACTTATAAAGCTTGTTTTTAAGTGAGTTTTTGAGGAGTTTTAATTCCTATTTGTTTAATTTCTTCCTGCACTGTTAGGAATTCTCCACCATAAAGTTTCCGAGATCCCTTTTTATGTATGGAAGTACTATGGATGACTCAAAATTCCTTATTGTTGGTTTAATCATCAATACTTGCACGTATATTTGTCATGTATATCGTTATTATTTGGAATTACACGATTATTTTGTATACTGACCAATCATAAGAGACATCCATACTCTCTCTCTCTTCCTCCCTGAGTCAGAGAGAATCAATCCACCAAATATAAAACGGGCTTGTATTATCCTACCTTCAAATATATATATATATATATATATATATATTCGTTCTTTGTTTATCCAAGCTTTGTGTTTACATTGGAAATTATATTTTGGCTGACAAAATAAGTCATGTGCTGATAATATTCTTTGTTATACAGACCATGTTAACATTCTTTTTTCTGGTTGCATATATAAAATACAAGTTGTAATTAAGCTAAAAACGTAGTAGCTCCTGAGAATAATGTCTGTGTAAAGTAAATGTATTCACTGAACCATTTTATTTTTCACTCAACAATTCAGAAAACCTGACAGAATGTTTTATTATGTAAAGAATCGCGTGAATGTCTACTTGAGGACATTTTTTGTGGTATCAAAAAACACACCTGCTGTATATTAAATATTAGTTTTGTTTATTAGATATATCACACAGTGAAACAGTCACATTATTTACTGGATGACACAGTTTCGAAGAAAATGTCACTTAAAATAGGAGTGTTTCAATGTTTATGTGACAGCAGGGCGAACAAACTAAGTAGTACGAAGGAAAATCTAAGACAGGAAGTGAGGCATACAAGAGAAGCTTTGAGAATTAATTAATAATTACCCTTATAAATTAATCAGGAGGTATGTGGGGAAATGTAAAAATAAAATAAATAATAATAGTAGTGTTAGTGCTGCTAATAATAATAACAATAGTAATGGTAATATTAATGACGACTTGCAAGTCAAACATGCATGCACAGAATGATGACAACGCCAACGATAGGGAATATAAATCATGAGTGGTACTTCTATATACAAAGAAGGAACGTGGAAAACATCACGACAGAGAATTCTTAACATTGCAGGCAGGAATTAAGGTGGCTAGTATTCAAATAGCCCACAAACTCGATTAGCAACAAGCTTTGTCGGTTAAAAGATCCTGCCTATGAAGCCAATGAAACAAAACAATTTGTTTATCTAATATCCTGCTGGAATGACTGTCAGGCCAAACTTACAGGTGAAGGTAGTAGAACAGGTGCTACCAGACTAGTGGAGCACAAAAACCTGGCAAAATGTAGATTAGTTGACCCGAATAAGATAAGAAATCTAGAGAATAGTTCAGCTATACTACTCATTACATGCAATTACACACAACCATCAAATAGGATGATGGGATAAGATGACAGATTTAAAATCTAATTTAACAGGTTGGCGAGTGGGGAAGATTGATAACAGAAGCTTTGTTTATCGAATCAACTGCGAATCAACACGTGTAATTGGAATGATTCAACATCTGTCCACGTCGACATCTGGAAAATTCTAATACCCCAACGATGACAAGTAGGAGAGAACAAAGAAAACTATAAAACTCAAGTTTCGAAGTTGTGTGGTTATAATTAATGAAATGATTATGAACAATAAATTTTGTTCGAAACTGTGTCATCCAGTAAATAATACTGTTTCACTCACTGTGTGATGCATCTAATAAAAAAACTAATATGGAATTACTTACTACCACAATACCCAAGTTTCACACATATATCAACACCCTGTAAACCTGTGTTCAAAAATTAATCATTCAGTAAACACAAATTACTGTTACATCACCGTGTGTGAGATATCAAGTTAGTTTTATTTCCTTCAGGTTCCCAGTGGAACATAGAGCTTTTGTCTAGAAGCTTGAAGTGTCGATAGCAGCGCCATTTATTTTTCCTGGATACGGTTGCTAGCCTCATGCTTAACCTTCTCTCTTAACCAGTCTTACTATTGGCTTAGTGAGGTAAAGGAGTGTGTCGGCCGAGGCTTGCGCCTTGAGCTAGCTGGAGAGCATTCTTTCACTGTCCCACCGATGCACAATATATCCGGTAAGCAACAATAAGTCGGAATTTCAAACTGCTTGGCTACTTCTCTTGCAACAAATTACACTTAATCTGTTCGCCGACAGACAAACAAACAGGTTATGACAGCTATTTTTAATTGGAACAGTGCCTTCTCCAAGGGTGTTTCTTTCTTATTTTGCATCACAGATATAATTTAAATATTCCCATATTTTGGCAATTATATAACACGATTTAGGCAAGAAAATACGTGTTTTTGGTAGGTTCTAATCAGATTTTGAATTTACATAATGAAATACTAATCACAGGCATTTTGAATTAGTGTGGTAAATAAGTTTATATAGGATCAGAGTTATTATTATTAATTATTTTATCCTTTAATTCCTAGAGTAACATAGGGCTTCAGCTGCGCGTCTCCATTGTCTTCGGCTTTCTGTCAACTATTTCACCCCGCTCCAAGTCTGCCCACGTGCTTTCGTCTCCTCTTCACATGACCTCCTCCACTCTAAGTCACCCTCACTCACACTGACAACGACCAACTCGCCGCCCGCTTCCCTTTCGGGTTCCACTCGAGCGATGGCTTGTCTAGAGATGTCACTCACTTGACGATTTCCTCAGAGTATGGCCAGCCAATCCATCTCCATTTCTTCCT